AATGCCGGCTGACGACCCCCAGGAGGAGAGCCTTCTCTGTGGTGGCACCTACCCTATGGAACAATCTACCCCCAGAGATACGAGTGATCTCCGACCTTCGGATTTTTCGTCGGGCCCTAAAAACTTATTTTTTTCAGTTAGCCGGTCTGTCTTGATTTTAGGGTTAGTTTTAAAATTTTAATATTGATTTTAATTGCCCATTTAAATTATGGGCCAAATTTTAAAAATTATTTTAACTTTATTTTTTAACTGTGATGTTTGTATAGATGTTTTTATCTTGGCTGTTCACCGCCCTGAGTCCGAAAGGAGAAGGGCGGTATAGAAATTTGAATAATAAATAAATAATAAATAAATAAATAAATAAAATTTGTTATATTCTTTTTCTCTCTTTTCTCCATTTTACATTATATGATATTGTGAGGCCCCTTACATATGCTTTGGTTGTATCCCATAAGTTTTGTAGGAAAGTGTGTTGCTTTGTATTTTCCTTATAGAACCATTCTAGCTCCTTTTCTATGTATTTCTTATATTCTTTTTCTTGCAATATCTGTGTATTCATAGTCCATCTATTCTTCTTTCTCTGCTGTCCTTTCCACTTCATCATTATCGGGTTGTGGTCCACCCAATTATTTGGTAAAATATCTACTTCTTCTATCTCCATCATTAACATCTTAGTTACCCAGATCATATCCAACCTTGACCAAGACTTATGCGGATTTGAATAATATGTAAAATTTCTTGTTTCGGGGTTAAGACATCTCCAGCTATCTACCATATTTAACTCTTCCACCATATCCATAAAGGTTCTAGGTAATACATTCTTTTTATTTTTATTTTGCTGGCCACATTCATAATCTTTTCTTACATCTAAAATAGCATTGAAATCCCCAATCAGACACACATTTTCCATTTTTTGATCTATAATTTTCTCATGCACTTTTTTGTAAAATTCTAATTGTTGACTATTTGGAGCATATATTACTACCAATAATATCTTTTTGAACTCAAGTTTTAACTCTGTCATGACTATCCTACCTTCTGTATCCACATACCTTATATTACTGTCTATTCCTTCCTTGATATATACCACCACTCCTCTTTTTTTTTTCTTCTGCCAATGAAGCGTATTCTTTACCTAATTTTTTATATTGTATATATTTCATGTCCTGTTTTCTTATATGTACCTCCTGGAGGCACACAATATCTGATTTTTGTTTCAAAATTTTTTTTGTAAATTTGGTGTCGTTTGGATGGTGAGTTGAGTCCATTAACATTTACAGATAGAATTTTTAAAGTCCGTTCCATTGCTTACTGACTTTCCTGTTGTTTCTTCTTTATTTCTTCCTGTTCCTTTTTTTTCCCTCTTGTTTGTACTCCTTCTTCTTCCTGGGTCTCTCCTTCGTCTACTTTCCCTCCTTGTTGCGGGGTTCTTTCCCGATCTCTCTTCTGTTTTCCTTTGATGTTCCGTCCTTCTTCTTCTTTATTACCATTTGTTACTTCAGCGCCCATCATTTGGTCGTATAGTTCCTTTGCTTTGCTGTGCGAATCCACCTTGATTTTCTTTCCCTGCCACGTTACTAACATTCCTTCCGGAGTTATCCATTTGAAGGGTATATATCTTCTGTTTAGTAACGTGGCCAGAAACCAATAGTCTTTTCACAAATCTCTTATTCTTTTGGGTATTTGCTTTAAGGTGATTATTTCTTTATTTCTGTAATACATTGGTTCATCCTTTGTTATCTTATATACGATATCCCTCACCTTCCTTCTTACAAATCTTATATGTACCTCCCGAGGGAGTTTGTTTTGTCGGGCATAGTTAGTGTGGACTCAGTAGACTTCATCTAATTCATTAATTATTTCGTCTTTTTCTCTCTGGAGTGCCTCTGCTATCATCTCAGCCATTACCATCGTCAGATCTTCCTCCCGGTCTTCCGCTACGTTCTGGAAACGCAGGTAAAATGCCGCCTTCTCCATTTCTAATTGGGCCACGGTGTTCTCAAGTTCCTTGTTTAATCCTGTCATTTTTGTATCCAATGCTTCTAGTTTTTCTTCCGTCAATTCGGTTTTTTGTTCTATTTCTTTTATCCTTTGGTCATTTTTTTGAATGATTTCTTGTATTAAGTCCATTTTTCCATCAATCTTTTGAATATCGTTCTTGACTTCTCTCTTTACCTCATCCATGTCTTTTCTAGATTGCTCATGATTTCTAGTCATACATTCTTGCATTTTGGCCATAGTTTCCTGAATTGTTATGAGCGTGGCCTGCATTGTTGACATATTAGGTGTACTGGGTTGCTTGTCTGATGCGAACATTCCCTCCAAAGTTTTCTGTGTCACTGGGGAGGCCGCTGTTCCTGTTAAGAATGGTGTTGGTTTCTTGGCTGTCTTCAACGTGGTTGTGGTAGTGCTGGTCATTTCTTTCAAGATCTTGTATTGTTCTCCCAATATTTTATCAACTTTCTCCCAAATCACCATCCAAATTTCTATAATTCCTTTCTTTTCCTTTCTTTTTTCCCCCCCCCTTATAAAAGATCAATCCAATAATCCTTCTTTAAATAAATTCTTTTAAATAATTAATTCTCTCTATATAAAATTCCGTTAAGAATGTGGTAAGAATATAAATATAAATCTAAGTATAAATATAGATATAAATATAACTACAAATATAAATATATATATATAAATATATATCTTATATAATTAAAGACTATACACTTGATCAATTCTTAATATCTTAATATCTGGTAATTAATTATTCAGTAAAATCCACAAAAAGAAAATATTCTAATAATATATACTGGTTAATATATAATAATTAATTAATTAATAGTAATATAGTATTCTAATAATAATACTTTTAAATCTCTATGTATTATAAATATTTTCTAAATTGGTTAAATACACACTATATTTCTTAATTGATTCCAATAAATAACAATATTAATTCATCTATACCTAAGTAAAAAAAAAAAAAGATAAGTTGGAGCAGTGCTTTTTCAATGTTCTTATTGGCCTCAGTATATTTTCAATGAAGAGAAAGAAAAAAACAAAACAAGTTCTTTTACTACTGTTGAAGTCTTTTCCAATTACAATATGGCGGTCTCTATTCTGCACAGTCACTGTATGCAATCCTTACTTTGTCAAAACTTTCTCACTCCTTCCGTTTGAGCAGCTAGAAACGGGGTTACAAAAAGTCCGTTCTTCCTTTAATCTCCACTGTTTAAGTCTATTTCTCCTCACCTTCGTCTTGCCTATTTTAAAGTTTTTTAGGCTTTCTTCGCTGCTCCGTATTTCGCCCCTTCCTTTTTGCTCGCCTCTTCAGTTGCCGCCCATTTGCGCTCTGAGATCTTCCTTTCTCATGCTGCCCCTCCGGAAAGAAAAGAAACTTTCTCCTCTGTTTTGCGCCAAAGTTGGTAATCCAAATTAATTCCGCTTTCTGCTCGACCTCAGCAATTCTGCACTGTACTCCCTCCTTTGCTCCCGATGGTCTCAATCGGCTCGTTCGGGTCTCCGGGCCGACTGTGCTCACCGGGCCAGCCGACTTCTTCCCAAGCCTGGATTGAGGGATCTTCACGGTACGGCGGGAGATCGCACCTCTCCTCGCCTCCCCCAAAGCTTCCCCTCTCTATTCCCGGTCTCTTTGGGACCGGTCTCTGCCAAAAACAGGCACCAAAGCTCAGAAAATCGGCAACACAGAGAGAGAGCGCTTCTCTTCTGTGCCGCCACGACTCTACGTCACCGCCGTAAGTCCAGAAGCAGCCATCTTTATCCGTGGCACATGGTCATCCAAGGACAAACCCACATCCCACACACAGAGCATCACTGCCAGATTTAAATTGCTTCTAGTTATTCATTGTTATGTTCAGCAATAACTGAATACGGTCTCTCTTGTATTTCAGTTCCCATTGTATGTATTCCTATTTTCTCCAGTTTCACCAAATCCTGTTCTTTCAACAAAGCATTAAGATCTACGCACATGGTCCGTTTTATTGGGGTATAGAGGGGTGTAGCTGCATGTCGAGCTGCACACAGACTAATGTTTAGTGGGGACAGAACATAGCTCCCCCACCACCCCCACTTCCTCTCCAGAGATCTGTCAAGGCAGAAGTTGGATTCGGAGGAAACTGCTTCCTGCAAACTTTCTCCTCCACGCTTCCACATGCAGCAGTGTCATCCACCGCCTCCAGCTTTGCCGAGAGAGGGCACCGGACAGGGAAATGCCATCTTTGAGAGTGATGTATGCATGATTCAGAATTTAGGATTTCTCCTAGACTCACTGGGTGGTCCTGCTCACCACTTTTTAGCTAATTGCAACATGGTTCTTCACAGACGTTAGGCTGCACGAAGGTGAAGAGGAAATCCATCAGAAGCCACTCCTCTGTGTTCAGGGAGGTACGTGGAAGAAACCCAGGAGAGACATAAAACTACACAGCAGGAAAAAAAACTAAACAAACTAGGCAAGAAGATCAAGGTGCAGAAAAGTTTTTAAACCTTGACTGAAACCCAAGTAAGCTTCTCAATATAACTGCAACTTTCAACTGGTTATCATTTAATTAAATTACAGTCCTCCCATGGACCTTCTGGTAATCTCCTTGTTTCTCTTATCCACTTTCTATCTTGTCTTCCCTTGCATCTACTTTATTCATCCATGCTACGCATAATACTTTTCTTTATTCCTAGATGATCGTTCTGGCTTGTGAGAGGTCTTATCCCTTCTGATTTACCTCTATGACCCAAAAATGCCTTTGAGGGGCAAGAAAGAACCTGGACCAGCCTGAGCAATGATACTGGGATTCGTTCATGAACTACAGATCACGAATAAACGGAGAAAAACGTTCCAACCACAAGACCTGAAGATTCCAGTGGTTTGAAGAGATTCCTTTGCATATGGAGGTGACAATGCAAGGGGGGAAAAAGAGATTTAACTACAATTAGTGAAAGAAAGGATGTACATGGAAAGAAAAAAGGGGTTAAAAAAACAGAGTTAACCTCTCTGCTCTTTTCGTTCTCTTTATTGTTCAGCTTGATCCAGAACTATTACTGGCAATTGAGCTTCACACCAACATGTGTTATACATTTTTAAAGCAACTAAGAGTTTAATAGATGAGTATAACACATGACTAGAACGAAACCACACCATTGATATTTATTTTATTTAATCCAAATGTGGACTTAGTAGCCCTCACCATACTACAGAAGAGCAAAATATGGCCATAATGCTTGAAAAGAAAATTGCACAAGCACTTGGGGCGCTTCTGGCTCCTTTTGTGAGAGAGGAATTTTCATCCTTTTAGCTCTTCCCACAAGCTGTTCATTGATCTCCATGTGACAATTCCCTCATATCATGAGGCCTTTGACTGTATAATGTTCAATGTTTCTGTATAGATACCGGCTGACTCAGGTCTCAGTTCTACACTGAGGATGCAAATATAATTATTTTTGGGGATCCCAGTTCTATACCATGGGTGCAATTTGATTATTTTTTTGATATTTTCCTTTTGGGCTTAGACGTCTTCGCATCCCTCTGAGAGCTATGACTAACTGGGGGAATGATGACAGTTGGGGAACAGGAAGCTCATTTCTAAACAATAAAATGAAATGAAACTATTCACCATGGGTTTCAAACTCCTCGTGTGACTATGCCATTATGTGACGCATTGCATTCCCTATTCGCGGAGCTGGGGGATGGGCGTCTCCTGCATGTGATGTGACCAGCCCGTGAGCCACCAATTTGACACTGCTATATACTATATATACAGATACATTCAAAAACCCTTTTCAGAGTTCAGTCTGTAAACTGGAAATCCATACATGGAACCCATTAAATCAATAGTTAGCATACATTCTCACCCAAATGTATCTTTGCTTTGGGGATTCTCCAGTCTATGAATCCTGTTATGGGAAATAAGACCATAGGATGTATTGAAGCCCATTCCACATTCCATGCATTTATACGGCTTCTCCCTTGTATGGATCCTTTGATGGGTTGTAAGGTAACTGCTTGTACTGAAACCCTTTCCACACTCCATGCATTTATATGGCTTCTCTCCGGTGTGGATCATTTGATGGCAGGTAAGATCATAGCTTATTCTGAAGTCCTTTCCACACTCCATGCATTTAAAGGGCTTCTCCCCTGTGTGGATCCTTTGATGGGTTGTAAGATGACTGCTTGTTTTGAATTCTTTTTCACACTCCATGCATTTATATGGCCTCTTCCCTGTATGGATCATTTGATGGATTGTAAGTTCGTTGCTTATTCTGAAGCCCTTTCCACACTCCATGCATTTAAAGGGCTTCTCCCCTGTGTGGATCCTTTGATGGGTTGTAAGATGACTGCTTGTTTTGAATTCTTTTTCACACTCCATGCATTTATATGGCCTCTTCCCTGTATGGATCATTTGATGGATTGTAAGTTCGTTGCTTATTCTGAAGCCCTTTCCACACTCCATGCATTTAAAGGGCTTCTCCCCTGTGTGGATCCTTTGATGGGTTGTAAGGTAACTGCTTGCATTGAAGCCCTTTCCACACTCCATGCATTTATATGGCTTCTCCCCTGTGTGGAGCCTTTGATGGCATTTAAGATGACTGTTTCTTCTGAAGCCCTTTCCACACTCCATGCATTTATATGGCTTCTCTCCGGTGTGGATCATTTGATGGCAGGTAAGATCATAGCTTATTCTGAAGTCCTTTCCACACTCCATGCATTTAAAGGGCTTCTCCCCTGTGTGGATCCTTTGATGGATTGTAAGATGACTGCTTGTTTTGAATTCTTTTTCACACTCCATGCATTTATATGGCTTCTCCCCTGTGTGGATCCTTTGATGGGTTGTAAGATGACTGCTTGTTTTGAATTCTTTTTCACACTCCATGCATTTATATGGCCTCTTCCCTGTATGGATCATTTGATGGATTGTAAATTCGTTGCTTATTCTGAAGCCCTTTCCACACTCCATGCATTTAAAGGGCTTCTCCCCTGTGTGGATCCTTTGATGGGTTGTAAGGTAACTGCTTGCATTGAAGCCCTTTCCACACTCCATGCATTTATATGGCTTCTCCCCCGTGTGGATCCTTTGATGGGTAATAAGGATATTCTTTTGGCTAAAGTCCTTTCCACACTCCATGCATTTATATGGCTTCTCCCTCATGCATGTCCTTTTATTAACAATCTTGTTTCCATGTTCATTACTTATATTTGACTTCTCTCCAATGTGGAAATTTTTCTGTGATTCAAGAGACCCATTTACTTGAGAAAGTGGGAATATCCAACTGTAATTTTTTCCTTCGTCTTTGCATATATTGGCTGGTCCTTTGGCTTGAGATGGACAGAGTCCATTTACATCTAATGTGTCTTCATAGAGTCTTACACCTTTCCCAGTATATTTCTTCTTTAGTTTTCCTCGTTCATCAATAAAGTCCTGCATCTGAGCAACAATTGAAGATGAGCTTTCCTTATTCCAGTTATTTGACAGGTTTCTCTCCTGCCTTTGGAATTCTGTTTGAATTGCAGGTTTCTCCATTACGTCTCCTTGTCTAAAGACTTCGATTGGTTCTCCAGAGTCTTTATTGTCATTCTCACCTTCAAAGGGAAAGAGAAATGAAAGTGGGAGAAAGATTAGGGAAAAAGATCACTCTGTTAGAAGTCATATTGATTGCCTTCAGATATTGTGCCAAATTCTAATATATACTGCATATTTGTATCCTTATAATAGCATGGTATTGAAATGATAATATTTCTATTGATGAGGCATAAAACCTTGAAAAAGACATTAAGTCAAAAAACTTGAATGATATAGACGCATCTGGGCCAAAGTAGTTGAAATCTGTGTGATGGAGTTTGCCATTACCTCAAACTAAGGAATTACTTTGTCACTAAAAAGTTTAAATAGAAACACAAAAATAAATTGGACTGGATATATCTAAGCAGAATGCCATAGACCCATTTCCTTCCTAGGAGCAGTAGAAAAACAGAACTTTTCCTTCTCCCTCTGAAGAGGGGATATCTATTTAGAGATGTTTTCAGAAGAACTAACTAATGACATCTAACTACAAAATGTCTTCCTGAACTCTCTGACTGGAGAGTAGGAAACCCTTACCAAGAGAGACCACGTTCTTATAATTCTCCAGCATGACTTCCCAATGCAGAGCTCTTTGGTGAGGATCCAGCTGAGACCATTCCTCCTCGGAGAAAAACACAGCCACCTCCTCAAAGGACACAAGACTCTCCTGAAAGGGGAAAAAAGTATAGAACAGCATCTTTCCTATTATTTAGAAATTCCCAAAGAAAACATATGCACTAAGGGAAATAGCTTTGCTTAGTAGGAATCCGTGGTTCAGATGACGAAATGGACAGAACAAAAAGCCTGTGAGGGTGGGGCAGTGGGCATGGAGGGGCCAGATGGTGTCTGGAAACAACTGCAGCCTGCGCGGAGGGTGGGGGGAGGCATGTGATCTGTCCCACCAACTGTCTTTGCTTGTGTGGAGTGTGCGGTGGAAGTGGAGGAACAGGCTGGACGGCGAGGGCTGAGAATGCAGGGGCTACGCCTTGGCGCCATCTCCCGCCACACCACTTGCTTTGCCTCATAGCAGTGGCACTGGCAGAGGTGCAGTGGGGGGAAGTACGCAATCTGGCCTACCAGTTGTGACCATGTGAACCCTGTCCTTGCTTGCCCGCATTTGCCCGCAAGCAAAGATAGGCAGTGGGATGGTGTCTGGACATGATGGGGCTTTTCAACCTTCACTTCAGAAGGAAGGAGAAGGAAAAAAGGGAGAGCAGTCGCTTGAGGGCTGCCTCTTTGCCAGTCTGTTTCTTTCAGATTTGTCCCGGCCCTCCCATCCCCTTTAAACCTTGGCCTCCCTCTTTGGAGGGTGATAGGGGGCAAGTTTAGGCTAAAGCACAGGAGAAACGGGGGAGAGAAGCCGCACAGCAAAGGAGAAGGGGCTCGCCCGCCTTTCCATGAGACCTCTCGGGTGACACGGCATGCCAAAACTAAAGTGTTAAAGGTATTCTTTCCAAGTCAGCAGCAGCGCCTAATTCAAAACAAAGCACTGCGCCCTTCCCATCGGTTGTCCCACTTTTGGGAAGCGTTTCGTCACCAGTGATGTCATTCAGATTACATCCTGGCGTGTTTTCGAAGGCAGAAGGCGTAGCTGTTGTTGCAGACCTATGGTTCTGCAACGCCCATGAGGTTTTGCGTGGAGAAGCAGATTGCTTCCCACAGGGTTGGCCTCGGCACCTGCTTCAGACAGCAAACAGAAGAGCTTTGCTCTTTTTCTCCAGGGCCTTTGAAATCCCCCCCCCTTTCACTTTTCTACCTTAAAATTCTGGGCTCTGGCAGTTGGGATGCTTCGTCTTTTGCCAAGAGTGCCTTGCGAGCATCCCCTTGATGGTCTTCCCCTCTCCCCACACAGTTCCCAGGGAGGGAGGGGGGGCAAGAGAGAGAGGAGGGGGGAACAAACGGAAAGGACACCTGGACTCGCAGCGCTTTCTTTTGATTTGCATGCCGTGTTCCCTGAGAGGCCTCATGGAGAGGTGGGCGAGCCCCTCATCCTTAGCTGCTGGGTGGAGGGCTGGGCTGGGCTGAAGCAGAGGAGAAAAGAATGGGGGAAGAAGCAGGCCTCTGCCTGCTGCCAGTGCGTCCCCCCTCAGTGGTCCCAGTTGCTGTGAGTGGTGAGCGCATCAAAAACAAAAAGTGGACTTCTGCACTGCCCCTTGCACTGCGCATGATGGCGAAACGCAGAGAAGAGCCACCCTCCCTTCGGGAAAGAGCCTGGGGGCGTTTCAACAGTAGGACAAGCCGGTCTTATTCAGATCACATCCCAGCATGGGATCAAATCCCTGCAGGATTTTTTGTTTTAATTTCCCTTCCAAAACATGCAGGGGCAGCACTGGCAGCAGGTGGAGGTCAGAGCCATGGGGTTGCCCACTTCCTGTCCAGCAGTCGCTGCAAACACATTTCAGGCAGCTGCTGTAAGCTGAGTCCTGCTTTTCCCTTTTGAGGAACTCGCCACTCCCTTGCAGCAACTGGCATGAGCAACTGCCTGTGCTGCTGCTGGCTTCACGGGAGCTCTTTGTCCTCCTGGCAGTGCTGCTCTCGGCCACCCAGATTGGCTGCTCCTGCCTGGAGCAGGGCGAATCTGCTGAGATCTACGACCTCCCACCTCCGGCCTGCCAGAGGCCCTTCGCCAGCATGCCCATTTTTCACACTTACAACTACTACCTATGCCAGTGATGGCTAACCTTTTTGCCGTCGCGTGCCAAAAGCAGGGGAAGCCGGGGGGGGGGGTGTTGCTGGTGCAGGTGCCCACATCCATAATTCAATGCACCCCACCCTCCTGCGCATGCGCACGTGACCTCCCCACACATCCCCCTGCTTTTGGCTTGCAATGGTACGGTGGGCCCGGTAGGCCCGTTTTTCCACCTCCCCAGACTCCAGAGGCTTCCTAGGAGCCTGGGGAGGGCAAAAATAACATTCCCTATCCCCCTGGAGGCCTTACAGAGGCCAGAAACAGTCAGTTTCCCGACTTCTGGTGGGACCAGAAGGCCTGAAAATCAGTTGGCCGGTGGGGGCATGCACGCTGGAGCTGAGCTAGGGCAACACTTGCGTGCCCACCAATAAGGCTCCGCGTGCCACCTGTGGCACCCGTGCCATAAGTTCGCCATCACGGACCTATGCTGTCCACATCAGTGGTGGTTTGCCCCCGGTTCGCACCGGTTCTATAGAACTGGTAGTAAAGCTGGCTGGAGGCCCCGCCCACTGACCCTGACGTAATCAAAATGCTTCTGCGCATGTGCAGAAGAGCACACACACACATGACCGAAGCAAGCACGCACGCGTGGTTCCGCTGCGAACCGGTAGTAAAGGTAAGTAGAACTCACCCCTGGTCCACATCCTCTGATTTCCTGAGGGAAATGGAAAATAAAAATCTAGTAAATGAATGTTCTTCTCTTACCTGAGTTGGAGGTTCAATCCTCCTTTCCAATCCCCCAAAACAAAGAGTCAACTTCCTTCTATTCTTCCCTGTGAGGAAGACAGAATTTCAAAAAGCATCATTAGTGAAATGGGAGGAGGAATGCTATAGAGGAGAGGACACCGAGAAGATGAGAAAGTTAGGATTCATCAAAGGAGTGGAAGGATCTTATATTACCTCCTGAGGTGTCCTGAATTGGATCTCCTGGAGGGATCCCCCTGAAAGACAGTTCTTCAGGGAGATTTGATGGATGCCTCTTTCTCTCAGGATCTCTGATCTCCATTGCGAAGGGCTTGAAATAGGAGAAAAGAATTAATGGACATCACACATGAAGTGGTTTCTTTTCCAGTGAACACCAATGCAAATCACTCGGTGTCGATCAATTAGACTGGGAAGGAAGAAAAAAATCCCTGTGCAAAATCTCTCTTCTAGAATAGATAAGGGAACTACACAAAGATTAGTGAAGCATCTACACATAGTATGAATTTCAGGAAAGGCTGGTAAGAAGACATCAAAATTTGAATCCATTGATCCAAAGGCAAGGATGTTTCTGTATAATATAATGCCTGAACAAGGAGAAGACATGTGGTTGAAGAGTTTAAAATTTGTATTAAATTATAATTTAAAATAAATCTTTTATAAAATGATGTATCCTTCTAGTTAACGCTGATAAACTACCAAAGATATATAATAAAATTTCAAATACATGTTCAAATAAATATGTAAAACATTGAAACTGTAATGTTATCATTTTATATGACTGCGCTAAAAAAAGTCAATGGTTTTCTTTCTTTCCCCCCTTTCCCCTACACTTCTTTCCCTTCCCTTCCCACCCACCATTTCCTACTATTTTCATTTTTTTGTATTTTATATCTTGATAAGCTTAATAAAACTATTAATAGGATACAAAACTGTGAACTTCTTGTTTATTATATTCAACTTTTTCTGGAGTCCCAAGAGGACGTCCTCTCACCTGCAACTCAACCTGCTCCTTCTTCTCCTCCGCCTGGCTCAGGAGGAAGCCTTCCACCAGGGCCACCGCCTGGGAGCTGGTCTCTGCTCCACACTCCCGCACCCAGCTCTCCATCTGCAGGGGCAGAAGGGCCAGGAACTGCTCCAGAACCACCAGGTCCAGCACCTGCGCTTTTGTGTACTTTTCTGGTTTCAACCATCGGCTACAAAAGGAATGGAGTCGGCTGCAAAGTCCTCGGGGACCCTCATCCTCCCGATATTGGACGCTCCTGAAGTTCCAGGCGTGAACTTGTGAAACGATGGTTCCTTCTTCCAGCATCTTCTGCCCAGTTCTTGTCCAGCTCTCCCCGTGGATTCCAGACTGAGCACCGGAAGGGCCTATTCCACTTCCCCCACTTGCTAAAGGACGGCTTGCCATTCTTTCTCTGTCCTATAATGCAATTCTAAATTAGTGGAAGGAAAGTTGTGTACCTCCAAATGCTTTTTCATTTCTTGGAAGAAATATCTGTTGGAAGAAATATCCTCTGGGTTCTACTCCAAGTGGGGAAACAGACATTGGAAACATGGAGACTGCTTGGAAAGATGGTTTAATGGTGGACAGGATCACATGGCTTGAGTTCCTGAACAGAAAAGGGGAGATACAGAAAGTCTTCGGGTTTTTATGCTCTCTCTGGCTCTGCATTTCTTGGGGCCCCAAAAGAGTATCCTGATTGGTTGTCGGACTCCCAGGAGGTGGGGGTTTTAGCTAGCCTTGCTGGCTGATGGTCACATGTGCTTCCCAGGTCACATGTGGTGAGTTTCTGCTGCTATTGTCTAGAGGGCTAATCCTATCTTTGTTGGATCTTTGGCAATTCCTACTTTGGCTCTGCCTGAAGGAGGCAGATCTTTGTTATGTAGAATAGACTGGCCCAGGCCTTAATGGCCCATTGGCAAAGGGTGGGGGGCAGGAAGGTGGGAGCTGCTTTGTCTGAAAAATATGCTTCTCCATTTCTCATCCAGGGAAATATAATATTCTGCCTTTTTCATATTTTCTAAAATATTTCACTCTTCCAGGAAAGGGGTGGGTGCTAACTTCCTACATATCCATCTGGTTCAGTTCCAATACAGGAGGATGGCGCTGGAAATAAAATGGAGGCTGGAGGCCGATTGGAAAGAAAGGTTCCCTTTATTGTTGAAGCAGATCCACCAACCACATGTGATTCTGGGACAGCTGACAAAATGGAGTTTAGAGTGGGTGGATTTTATACCTTCTGGATTCCTATGGGATCATGGTTGGCTCTATAGGCAAATGGGGAAATGCAAATCCTAGGTCTTTGTCTGAGCTAATTTGGTCAACCTTTGGCTTAATTGTGTTGCTTATCTGATGTTTCTGCCTGACCCAGTCTTTCTGAATGGATTACAAAATCTCCATTTCTAAAAGCTGGCCTCCTCAGTTTCCGCTTGGGGCAGGGAGACTGAGGCTGGTTTCTGCCTCCCTCAAGAGCATGTGTCTCCATTTCTCCCTTAGGGGAAATATAATACTCTGCTTCTTTTTAATATTCCCCCAAATATTTCATTCTTGGGGGGAGGGGCTTCCCACACATTCATAGCAATGTTCACCTAGCCATGGGAATACCTAAAGTCCTCTTAGCCAAAGAAATAACGTTGTCTCTAAAGAAGATGAACAAATGAGTTCCATTTTGCGATTCTCTTATAGAAAAGAGAATATATTCAAACAACCAGAAAGTAGTGGATTGGCCCATTCATCAACACACATCCCCAATTATATCGCCTTGTCCCGCCTTTTCTTTTAGGGGCTCCTTGACTGGGAAGCTTTCCCCCATGCCTCTTACAACCATGGGAAAGGGGGGTTAGGAGGGAGGGAAACAGGGGGTCTCAGGAAGGGATCTCCCACTCCTCAAACTCAAAAAAATGAACCTGGATGAGGAGTAGGCAAGAGAGAGAGAGAGAGAGAGGGAGGGAGAGAGAGAGAGAGAGAGGGAGGGAGGAGAGAGAGAGAGAGAGAGAGGGAGGGAGGGAGGGAGGGAGAGAGAGAGAGAGAGAGAGGGAGGGAGGAGAGAGAGAGGGAGGGAGGGAGGGAGAGAGAGAGAGAGGGAGGGAGAGAGAGAGACCTACCGTCTCCACCTCTGGATTTTGTTTCCGCCTTTCAAATTCCTGCAGATCTCAAAGGGTTAAAGTGAGAGAGAGTCCAGTATCCTGGAAAGGCAAAATGACTCACTGGCTTCCCCATTTGTAAGGTCCAAAGCTGAAGTGCCCCCCCTGGTGGATTTTCTGTGCACGGAAGGTGCTCATGCAAAGAGCAGAGAAATGGGGGGGGGGGCAGGAAGGGGGTCCTTGACTGGGAAGCTTTTGGCCATGCCTCTTATAATCATGGGAAAGCGGGGTTAGGAGGGAGGGAAACAGGGGGTCTCAGGAAGGGATCTCCCACTCCTCAAACTCAAAAAACTGAACCTGGATGAGGACTAGGCAACACACACACACAAACCTGCCTTCTCCACCTCTACCTATCTTTTCCACTTCTGAATCTTTAAGACTTTCTGGCCTTTTTAAACTTCCTGCAAAGCTCAAAGGGTTAAAGTGAGAGAGACTCCAGTATCCTAGAAAGGCAAAAACTGAAGGATATCACTTTCTTCCTATTTTAACAGGGGCCCAAAGCTGAAGTGCCCCCCCTGGTGCATTTTCTGTGCACGGAAGGTGCTCATGGAAAGAGCGGAGAAATGGTGCATTTCCCATGGGAGGCCAGGAAGGGACTCCTTGACTGGGAAGCTTTTGGCAATGTTCTACTGTAGTAAAGAGCATTCTATTTAAAGTAGTGGTATTAGAAAAAAAGCCATTCCCTAATAAGAATCTCATTTAAATCTGTTGCTGAGGAAGGAAGGAATAAGTCAACCGAAACAAGAAGAAAAGGTGACTGTACAATGTGCTCCAGCTTGATTTTCCAAAGGAAAGGGAGAATACAAATCTAATAAATTTCCTCATCTTGCATTGAGTTGGAATTTTGACCACTATCTCAGCTTTACCATATGGATGAGTCAACTTCTTCCTACCCTTCCATGCTCAGTCGAGGACTACCTATAATATGTACATCAGCCGATTTCCTGAGAGAAAGGGAAATAATAATCTAGTTACTGAATGTCCTTTTCAATGCTTTTCCAAGTCTAGCAATGTTCATGTAACCAGGGGAATATGAGAACAAGCCATTAATTCCTCAACAACCATTCAACAACACTCATCCCCATAGGAGGACTTTTCTGAGATGGTAAATTGATGACTTCCACCTAGAATATTCAGTGTATTTATCAAATGATGAAAATTCAACCCACATCAAATGAAATGCCAGTCAATTTACCCTACTTTAGGACGCTCCATTTCTCTTTTTTCCTACGCTCAGCCATGCAAGTTCGCACAACATGCCCTGAACACAAACAGGTCAACCAAATTGAGGGGCTCAGTTTACGTACGTGAAACACAAAGGCTTAACATGATGATCTGGTTCACTACCCTCCCATGGTAAATTGAACTGCAGACACACCAAACCTAGTTTAGTGTCATCCGGCCCATAATGGGAATGCAGGCATAATCTTTTGCATCTCTTCCTTGCTGACCGTTCCTGGTTTCCTGCTCAACCTTTGCCACGCAAGCTCACCCACTCCCCCTATGCAGGAGCTTTTCCAAAGAAATGGGAAAGAAAGACTATCCAGTTCCACCCCTTTCTTTTCTGGGACCTGAATTTATTCCTCATCTGGAGCTCTGCTTTCCCCTCTGCCTGTTAGAATCATTGATCATGGGATCTGGGAGTCTCCCACTCCCAAGACTCAAATGATTGTATCTGGATGTACACAGTGTGCAGTTCGGGGGCAGCTGACCAACTAACTGGGTTAGTGGAAGGCTTCTTACATGGTTCTGTAACTTTGAAGTTTGGGGTTTGTGCAATATGGGCTTTGTGTTCTGAAAGGGAGTTGGGTAATCCTTTTTTTTTTTTTTATAAAAGAAACAAAAATTTAATAGATCAGTCATTCCTTCCATGTGACATCTTGGTGTTGTCTGCAATAGTTCTTTTTGTTGTTTCTTCTATCTTCATTGTCGCCAAGTCCATTACAACAATTCATCACTAACAGAATATTCTGATTATAGCATTTTTATACATAACTATTAATTTACTTATTTGTATCTCTTTTCTAACCAATGGTAAAATTGATTCCATATCTTAAAGTATTCTGAATCTTCTCTTTCTTTAATCATCAAAGTCAATCTATTCATTTCTGCACCCTCTAATTTTTTTTTAATTACTTCTCCTTCCAAAGGTATTTTCTCTGCTTTCCAGTGTTGTGCATAAACAATTCTTGCAGCTGTTATTACATGTATAATCAAATAGATATTTTCTATACTATTTTTTTCTGGAAGGATACCCAATAGGAACAGCTCTGGTTTTAAATCAATACGTTGTTGTATCATTTCTTCCAGCCATATCTTAATTTTATTCCAATAATTTTTAGCTTTTGAACATGTCCACCACATATGATAATATGAACCTGGTAACTGGTGACATTTCCAACATTTAGCTGATTTATCTTTAAACATTTTTGACAGTTTCTCAGGGGGCATATGCCATCTATCAAACATTTTATATATTTTAAAAATAAAAAACTTTATATATAACATCTTATATTGATTTTCCTTATATGCAGTGGACATTGTTAATTTATAATTCCTTTCCCATAACTGTTGCCATTTATCTAAATCAATTGAATAGCCAAGATTCTTTGCCCAGGCTATCATTGTTTCCTTTACTTACTCCCCCTACAGTTCAATGCCAAGTAAGAAGTTATAGAATTTTTTAATTAATTTATCTACTGTTCCTGTGAGTATCCCATCCAACTCTTTTCTTTTCAGAATAAAAACCATATAATTTAGCATCTTTTTCATATCTTGTTTGTATCTGCATGTACATATACCAGTCCATCTCAATCCCGTTGTTCCAATTTTCGTTTCCCTTTCAATTCCCCCTTATCTGTTAATAAATCCTTGTATCTAACAATATTTCCAAAGTTAAAAACATTTGGGTGTATTAAAGCTTCCATTGTTGATAATCATATTGGTATTTTTACATAATACAGTATTTACCTCTAGCTTTCTCCCACACCAATAACAATGCATTCCTTATATAATGTCTATGAAAGTACGTATGTATCAGGGGTGAAATCTAAAATTTGTTACTACCGGTTCTGTGGACGTGGCTTGGTGGTGGTGGGGTAATGTGACTGGGTGGGCGTGGCCAACTTTTTTTTTTATTTTTAAAAGCATTTTTTCTACAACCTTAAGAGGTTGCAGAAAAAAATGCTTTTAAAAGCCTCTGACGATCCCAGCTGAGCTGCCCGATCATCAGAGGCTTTTTTTAAAAACTTTTAAAAGCATTTTTTCGGCTGAAGAGGTTGTAGAAAAACTGCTTTTAAAAGTAAAAAAACCAGCCTCTGATGATTGCGTGGCTCAGCTGGGCATGGGGGGGGGCAGGGATTTTTGCTACCAGTTCTCCGAACCACCCGCCTCCATCGCTACCGGATCAGGTGATCTGGTCTGAACCGGGAGCATTTCACTCCTGGTATGTATCTTATTTCTACCATACCATAAGAATGCATGCCATCCCAGTTGTAAATCATGACCTTCCAATGTTAATAGTCTTGTATTTCTTAATTCAACCTATTCCTTCATCCAAGTCAATGCTGCTGCCTGGTAATATAATTCCCAATTCGGCAGTCCAAATCCTCCACATAATCTCATGTCCTGAAGCATTTTTATGCTTATTCTTGCTTTTTCCCCTTGCCATATAATTTTTTCAGTTGTTTAGGAGTCTAGTGGTCCACTTCAGAAAACTCAGTTTTGCAGCAATTCTTGTCAGCCCCAAGGATCTTGAGAAATCTCTCTCTACCTCTCTTTTCTCTCTCTCTTTCTCTCTCTCCTTCTCTTTCTCTCTTTATATCTCTGTCTCTCCCTCTTTCTCTTTCTCTCTTCCTGTCCTTCCCTCCCTCTGTCTCTATGTGTGTGTCTCTCTCTTCCTCTGCCTTTCTCTCTTTATCTTCTGGAGGCAGGGAAGGCAAAAAACAAGCCATTTTAGTCCATCTTTTAGCCTCCTGGGCAGGGGTGAAATTCAAAATTTTTCCCTACCAATTCTGTGAGCGTGGCATCGTGAGTGTGGCAGGGAAGGATATTGCAAAATCTCCATTCCCACCCTGCAAGGCTCCCGAAGGCAAGTCCTACACTCGGCTGAAGGGTGGGCAGGGCGATGTGGGCAGGGCAGCCTCATGGTCCTACGTGGGCTGGATTAATGGCTTTGGTGGGCCACATGCGGCTCACAGGCCATAGTTTTAGGACCCATGGACTAAAAGATCTCCAAGATCCCATCCACTTCTATTATTCTGTAAAGAAATAAGTCAACCCAAACAAGAAGGAAAAATGAAAGGTGACATTACTATATAGATCAGCTTGACTTTCTGAAGAGAGAATACAAATCTAATAAGTTTCCTCCGCTTACTTGAATTGGAATTTTAACCATTTCAGCTCCACAGTAAAGAAGAGTCAACACGTTTATTGTTTATTGTTTATTTATGTGGCGCGGCCACATGTTTATTGGACCCGTGTCCCTCCTGGCTGGTGCTGGCCTCTCGGGAGGTTACACGAGGCTGGCTCCAGGGGATTATAAATGCTTCCTTGAGAGAGGGTGTCTTCCCTGCTGCCTTGAAGGAGGCGGTGGTGAGGCCTCTCCTCAAGAAGCCTTCTCTGGACCCAGCAGTGTTGGCTAATTACCGTCCAGTCTCCAACCTTCGCTTCATTGCAAAGGTTGTTGAGAGTGTGGTAGCGCGACAGCTTCCTCAGTACTTGGATGAATCGGCTTATCTAGATCCGTTCCAGTCGGGCTTCAGGCCTGGATACAGCACGGAAACGGCATTGGTCGCATTGGTAGATGATCTCTGGAGGGCCCGGGACAGGGGTTGCTCCTCTATCCTGGTCCTATTAGACCTCTCAGCAGCTTTTGATACCATCGACCATGGTATCATGCTGCACCGGTTGGAGGAGTTAGGGGTGGGAGGCACCGTGTTGCGGTGGTTCTCCTCCTTTCTATCTGATCGGTCGCAGTCTGTGTTGACAGGGGGGCAGAGGTCGACCCCGAGGCCCCTTATATGTGGGGTGCCACAGGGGTCGGTTCTCTCACCCCTTCTGTTCAACATTTATGTGAAGCCGCTGGGTGAGATCATCCGTGGTTTTGGGGTGAAGTATCATCAGTATGCTGATGATACTCAGCTATACATCTCCACCCCGGACCACCCCAATGATGCCCTTAAAGTGATGTCCCAGTGCCTGGAGGCTGTACGGATCTGGATGGGGAGGAACAGACTCAGGCTCAACCCATCCAAGACCGAGTGGCTGTGGTTTCCGACGTCCCGATATAGTCAATTGGTGCCATCACTGACTATTGGGGATGAGTCATTGCCCCCCACGGAGAGGGTTCGCAACTTAGGCGTCCTCTTGGACTCACGGCTGTCTTTAGAAGAACACTTGACAGCTGTGGCCGGGAGGTCTTTTTATCAGGTTCGCCTGATTCGCCAGTTGCGTCCCTTTCTGGATCGGGACTCGTTAAAAACGGTCACTCATGCCCTCGTCACTTCACGCCTGGACTACTGTAATGCTCTCTACATGGGGCTCCCCTTGAGGAGCACCCGGAGGCTCCAGCTGGTCCAGAATGCGGCCGCGCGGGTAGTTATGGGAGCAGCATGGCGCTCCCATGTGGCTCCCCTCCTGCGCGAGCTGCACTGGCTCCCTGTGGTCTTCCGGGTGCGCTTCAAGGTCTTAGTTACCACCTTTAGAGCGCTCCATGGTTTAGGACCGGGGTACTTACGAGACCGCCTTCTGCCACCAATAGCCTCTCACCGCCCAGTACGCTCCCATAGAGAGGGGCTTCTCAGGGTGCCGTCAGCCAAACAATGTCGACTGGCGGCCCCCAGGGGGAGAGCCTTTTCTGTGGGGGCACCCACCATCTGGAACGAACTCCCCCCAGAGATACAGAAGATTCCGGATCTGCGCACTTTCCGCCGTGCCCTCAAAACATTCCTGTTTCAGCAGGCCAGCCTGGCCTAACTTTCCCTTTATATTGCTTTTTGATTTATTTTAAACTGGGATGTCTTGAATTATCTAGGACCAGAATGTTTAGTATATTTTAATTGGTTTTTTATTATTAACGTTTGTATTACATGTATTTTTATCGTTCGCTGTTCACCGCCCTGAGTCCCTTAGGAATAGGGCGGTATATAAATTTAATAAATAAATAAATAAATAAATAAATAAATAAATAAATAAAACACCTTTCTACTCTTCCATGCGAGGGAGACACAATTTTAAAATACATAATGAATAAAGTAGGCAGAAGCATTCTATAGATCTCTATTGGGAATAGGAGGACCTTATATTACAGTGATGGCTAACCCTTTTCTCGTTGTGTGCTGAAAATGCGCACGTGCCAGTACCCATAATGCAATGTGGCCCCCTGCACATGCACGCAAGACCCCCCAAATTCCCCGTCCTCCCATGCATGCGTGCATGACCTCCCCCACTCCCCCATGCATTCTTGCGTGACCCCCACCCCCATTTTGGCCCTAGCAGGCCTCCCTGCAGCCTCCTGAGACCAAAAATGGGCCATGGGGGGTGTGCATGCTCCCCCCAGCCCCCCAAGCATGAGCGTGTGATCTCCCCGCCCCCACATAAGCGTGCGCACACTTCCTCTTTCTTTCTTGTCTCTTTCTTTCTTCCCTCTCTCTCTCTCTCTCACACACACACACACCTGGTCGGGGACGAAGTGATCCGGTGAGCTCCAGAGCAGCAGCAGTGGCAGGAGAAGGAAGACAGCAGCATGTACCCCGAGGCCAAGCGCACCAGGCCCAAAAGGTGAGTGAGCCTCACCATGTCCCCTTAGCTTTTTGGCCAAGCGCAGCAGATCTCCCTCCCCCGCTGCATCGGCAAGGAAGATCTTCCACGCACCTCTGAAGAAAAGGCTGACAGCGGGCGGTCCTTCGGGGAGATGCTGCAGCCACTGTGCTAGGACTGATAGGGGCAGTGGTGGTGGCAGTATCAGGAGATGGTAGTAGCAGCCTTGGCACAAGGGGGCAATGGTGGTGGGGAGGGCGAAGCCGCCAGCCCAGCAAGCTGTCCCCCCACCATCCCCACTGTGGCTGCAAAGGCAGTGGCTTTGAGAACTGCTGGCCAGCGGAAAGGGGGCTGCCCGGCCTGGCAAACTTTGTAGCCATGCGGCTGCTGCAAAGCTTGCCAGGCTGCCCCCCCCAGTTCCCCCACTGCAAAGGCAGCGGCTTCAGGAGCTGTTGTCTGGTGGAAAGGGGGCTGCCCAACCCAGTATGTTTTGTAGCCACGTGGCGTCCCCCGAGGCCAAGCACACCAGGCCCAAAAGGCAAGAGAGCCTCGCCATGTCCCCCCAAGACGGGTCTTCAGCCAAGCACATCAAGTCTCCCTTTCCCACCGCCAGTGTCGGCCTTACCTTCTAGAGCTTCCATGTGCCTCAAAGGAAAGGTGGCGGCGGTGGCAGGAGAGGGCAGTGGTGGCATGGACAGCTACACCACCAGCGGCTTTGGGAGACACTGGCGGTGGGGAGGGGGCCGCCAGCCCAGAAAGCTTCGCAGCTGGCTCTTTGAGAGCAACCATAATGCTGATGCAGCCCTCAATAAATTGAGCTAGGGGAGGCGTGAACGGCAGAACGACGGGCTTTTTGAGGGCTCTCAAGGACCCATCGATATCTCCGTGGTCCGAAGGTCCCCAGGGACCTAAGCATCTTCTAGGGATGACAAACAAGAGGAGCATATATTGGTCAACACAGGGAGTCTGCAAACTCCTTGGTAGGACTGGAAGAAGTTCCTCAAATCGGACAGCACAGAAAGTGACCTAGATGTCACTAGGAAGCTGGGGCAGCTACAACAAAAGTGGATGAATTAAGACAGCATGTCACATGGAGGTGAGAGTGTTTTGATTTTTTTTACCAAGAGTTTCTCTTCAAATCCATCTGGAAAATTCACAGGGTGGAAAAGACTAGCTGAAAGAGAGGAGTGAGAGTGGGTGTGTATCCACTCTCAAATTCAGTAATTTGGCAGTGCGGAAAGCGAAACCGGAAGCTTTTTTACTATTTTGCTATTGAAAAAAAAAAAGAGAGAACTTGGGGAATTTTGAATCTTTTTAAAATTGATAATAAGAATTGGGACATTCATTTAAATCCCATTTGAATGAATTATTATAGAATGGGGAAGATTGCTACAAGAATCTTGAATCAACAAATCTTAAAGAACTGAAAGTGCTGTGTTAAATGTTAAAACTTAACCTGTAGTGCCATCTAGTGGCGAAGGGGAAAAAAAGATATATACTTTGAAGAAATTTTAATAAATAACTGACCTTGACATTTTGGCTGAATGATAATTGTACAGCTGTGGAAGAGAGATTAAATGTCAGCCTCCATTTTTACTGCTTCAGCTGCCATAAGAAACGGGTGGGAAACGGGGGCGAAGGGGGAGAAGGGCGCAGGAGTCTTTCCAAGAAACGAAACCGATTCTCCAAAGGAGCCGTCAGACCAACCATCATTACATTCCTGATGGATGACATTGCCAGACGTGATTCCACCTGACCTTTGGGAAACCTTTGGATTGGATGATGGACGATGGACAAGGGGGGGGGAGATGCTTTCTAGATGCAATTTCACGCGTTTTGCTTAGTTCCAGCTTTACCTGGGTTGCGATCGCTTCATTTTCAGTAAAAGTATTAATCTCTATAAATAATGGAGTTTGGATCATTCTTTCCTGGATTTTGAAGGAAGCATACCTGACAATAAGCGTCAACGGACAAATTACAAGAAAAACCAATTATCTCATTTGAAATGGAATGTTCTGAATTCTACTTAAGATTTCAAAATATAGAGGAAGAAAAATGAGAAAATTTACCCAAGCTAATTGCTGAGATTTTGTCAGAAGCTTTGGAACAACCCAAGGAAAATATTTTAAATGAGATTGAGGAAGCGTTTAGAGTATATACAAGATATGCAATGAGGAATAAATTACCAAGAGAAGTACATGTAAAATTCACAAAGAAGGAAAGATTCTACAAGCAGCAAGAATTACACCATTGAAACATAAAAATAAAGAACTTGTGGTTCTACAACAAATACCCAGAAGAGTTAGGGATCTGAGGAGAGAATATCAATTCCTAACAAAATATTTAATATTTAAAGGAGTGAGTTTTAGATGGTTAATACCTGAAGGAATTATGGTGACATGGCAAGAACAAAGACACAGACTTGATTCCATTGAAAAAGCAAAGTTGTTTCATAAACAATTTTGTGGACCGTTAGAGAAAGATCAGGGTGCAGTAGGCGAGACAAAACAGAGAGATGAAGAGAAAGATAAAGATGAAAAAACAAAAGAAGAAAGAGCATTAAGAGAGGGGGCAAGATCTAAAGATCCAATGGAACAAAGAGAGACAAGGGCGAAAAACTAGTAACAAGTAAACCATGGAAGAAGGAATTAAGAGCAATATCACTAAATGTAAATGGACTAAATGCGGCGATAAAAAGAAATATACACGTGGCCCCGTTGTGAACCAGTAGTAAAGGTAAGTAGAACTTGTAAGTACAGTTCTTTGAAAAGATAAAGTTTGTTTGCATTTGCTTTGAAACTGCTTGTAGAAATGCTAGCCAGCATCTACAGAAAGCATTCCATAATGTGGTGTGCTGTATCTCTACTCTAAACTGCTGGTTTTCAAGATTTCAGCCAAGAGTTCTATAAATTCCTCCCCCATCTTCCTCTGGGAGCCTGGCTGGAGACTCTTAAACTAATTACTGCAGTGGCAGGAGGTTTTTTTTTTTTAAAAACTGCAATGTGAGAGTTCTGTAAATTACCACCAAAACCCATCTGGGCAGCTGTCTGAAGACGCTTGAGCTGATGAGCAGCAAGTGGATTTTTTTAAAACTACAAACGGAGAGCTCTGCGAGTCTGCTTGGAAGTTTAGTTATTCTTTCACCTGAACCAGAATCAGCTGATCGGCGGTGGAAACAACTGATCAGCGGCCTGCAGGAAGTAAGTCAGATCGTCATTCATTTAACAAGCCATTGGATTCAATTAATGAATTTGATTTTAAAAATTTGTAAAATTGAATCTGATTCATTTGACACATTTTTTGAGGTACGAACCTAATGGGCAGGCTCCATTAGGTTCGTACCTCAAGGAATACCTGTATTTCTATTTTTCCAGTTTCACCCATCCTGTTCCTTTAATAAAGCATCCAGATTTACGCACATGGTCTGTTTTATTGGAGGATAGTTGGGTTTAGCTGCACACAGAGCAACATGTAACGTATAATGAAGACAGAACAGACCTTATGATTCTAGGAAAATTTCACCTTTGAGAGTGATGTATGCATGATTCAGAATTTAGGATTTCACCTACACTCACTGGGTGGTCCTGCTCACCACTTTTTAGCTAATTGCAACATGGTTCTTATCAGAAGTTAGGCTGCACGAAAGTGAAAAGGAAATCCGTCAGAAGCTACACCTCTGTGTTCAGGGAGGTAGGTGAAACAAACCTGGGAGAGACATAAAACTACACAGCAGGCTAAAAAAAACCTAAGCAAGTAAAACAAGCTGCATAAAAGTTTTTAAACCTTGGTTGAAACCCGAGTAAGCTTCTCAATATAACTGCAACTTTCAACTATTAAATTTCTTTTAATTGTTCATCCTTTCAGCTCTTCCCACACACTCTAGATTGATCTCCATGTGACAATTCCCTCATATCATGAGGCCTTTGACTGAATAATGTTCAATGTTTCTGCATATATACCGGCTGACTCAGGTTTCAGTTCTACACTGAGGATGCAAATTTAATTACTTTTGGGGATCCCAGTTCTACACCATGGGTGCAATTTGATTATTTTTTGATATTTTCCTTTTGGGCTTAGGGAAGCAGCATCTGTTAGACGTCTTCGCATCACTCTGAGAGCTATGACTAACTGGGGGAATGATGACAGTTGGGGAACAGGAAGCTCATTTCTAAAAAATAAATAAAATGAACCTATATACCACGGGTTTCAAACTCCCCGCATGACATTACCATTATGTGATGCATTGCATTCCCTATTCGCGGAGCTGGGAGATGGGCGTGTCCTGCATGTGATGCAATCAGCCCGTGAGCCGCCAGTTTAACACTGCTATATACTGTATATACAGATACATTCAAAACCCTTTTTCAGAGTTCAGTCCGTAAATTGGAAATCCATACATAGAACCCATTAAATCAATAGTTAGCACACATTCTCACCCAAATGTATCTTTGTTTTGGGGATTCTCCAGTCTATGAATCATACTATGGGAAAAAAGACTATGGGGGGTGCTGAAGCCCTTTCCACATTCCAAGCATCTATATGGATTCTCCCTTGTGTGGATCCTTCAATGGCGTGTAAGATGACTGCTTGTACTGAAGTCCTTTCCACATTCTTTCCATGCTCTTTAACATCTTCATCGATGAATTGGATGAGGGGATAGATGGAGAACTCATCAAATTTGCAGATGACACCAAGCTGGCAGGAATACCCAACACTCCAGAAGATAGGCTCAAGATACAGAAGGATCTTGACAAACATTGGGCGCTATCTAACAAAATGAAATTCAACAGTGAAAAAAAGCAAAGTTCTACATTTAGGGAAGAAAAACAAAATGCACAGGTACCATATATGTGGTACCTTGCTCAATAGTAGTAACTGTGAGAGGGATCTTGGAGTCCTAGTGGACAACCATTTAAATATGAGCCAGCAGTGTGCAGCAGCTGCCAAAAAAGGCAACACAGTTCTGGGCTGCATAAACAGAGGGATAGAATCAAGATCATGTGGTGTTAATACCACTTTATAATGACTTGGTAAGGCCACACTTGGAATATTGCATTCAGTTTTGGTTGCCATGATGTAAAAAAGATGTGGAGACTCTAGAAAGAGTGCAGAGAAGAGCAACAAAGATGACTAGGGGACTGGAGGCTAAAACATATGAAGAACGGCTGGGTATGTCTAGTTTAATGAAAAGAAGGACTAGGGGATATATGATAGCAATGTTCCGATATCTCAGGGGTTGCCACAAAGAAGAGGGAGTCAAACTATTCTTCAAAGCACCTGAGGGTAGAACAAGAAGCAATGGGTGGAAACTAATCAAGGAGAGAAGCAAGTTAAGAACTAAGGAGAAATTTCCTGACAATTAGAACAATTAATAAATGGAACAACTTGCCTGCAGAAGTTGTGAATGCCCCAATACTGGAAATTTTTAAGAAGATATTGGATAACCATTTCCCTGAAGTGGTGCAGGGTTTCCTGCCTGGGCAGGGGGTTGGACTAGAAGACCTCCAAGGTCCTTTCCAACTCTGTTATTCTATTCTATTCCATTCCATTCCATTCCATTCCATTCCATTCCATTCCATTCCATTCCATTCCATTCCATTCCAATTCTACTCTATTCTACTCTACTCTACTCTACTCTACTCTACTCTACTCTACTCTACTCTACTCTACTCTACTCTACTCTACTCTACTCTACGCATTTATATGGCTTCTCCCCTGTGTGGATCCATTGATGGGATGTAAGTTGACTGTTTCTTCTGAAGCTCTTTCCACACTCCATGCATTTATATGGCTTCTCCCCTGTGTGGATCCATTGATGGGATGTAAGTTGACTGTTTCTTCTGAAGCCCTTTCCACACTCCATGCATTTATATGGCTTCTCCCCTGTGTGGATCCTTTGATGGGATGCAAGTTCACTGCTTGTTCTGAAGCCCTTTCCACACTCCATGCATTTATATGGCTTCTCCCCTGTGTGGATCCATTGATGGGATGTAAGTTGACTGTTTCTTCTGAAGCCCTTTCCACACTCCATGCATTTATATGGCTTCTCCCCTGTGTGGATCCTTTGATGGGATGCAAGTTCACTGCTTGTTCTGAAGCCCTTTCCACACTCCATGCATTTATATGGCTTCTCCCCTGTGTGGATCCTTTGATGGGATGCAAGTTCATTCCTTGTTCTGAAGCCCTTTCCACACTCCATGCAATTATATGGCTTCTCCCCTGTGTGGATCCATTGATGGGATGTAAGTTGACTGCTTCTTCCGAAGCCCTTTCCACACTCAATGCATTTATATGGCTTCTCCCCTGTGTGGATCCTTTGATGGCATATAAGATGACTGTTTCTTCTGAAGCCCTTTCCACACTCCATGCATTTATATGGCTTCTCCCCTGTGTGGATCCTTTGATGGGTTGTAAGTTGACTGTTTCTTCTGAAGCCCTTTCCACACTCCATGCATTTATATGGCTTCTCCCCTGTGTGGATCCTTTGATGGGATGCAACTCCATTCCTTGTTCTGAAGCCCTTTCCACACTCCATGCAATTATATGGCTTCTCTCCTGTGTGGATCCTTTGATGGGTTGTAAGTTGACTGTTTCTTCTGAAGCCCTTTCCACACTCCATGCATTTATATGGCTTCTCCCCTGTGTGGATCCTTTGATGGGATGCAACTCCATTCCATGTTCTGAAGCCTTTTCCACACTCCATGCAATTATATGGCTTCTCTCCTGTGTGGATCCTTTGATGGGATGCAACTCCATTCCTTGTTCTGAAGCCCTTTCCACACTCCATGCATTTACATGGCTTCTCCCCTGTGTGGATCCATTGATGGGATGCAAGTTCATTGCTTGTTCTGAAGCCCTTTTCACACTCCATGCATTTATATGGCTTCTCCCTTGTGTGGATCCTTTGATGGGATTTAAGATGACTGTTTCTTCTGAAACCCTTTCCACACTCCATGCATTTATATGGCTTCTCCCCTGTGTGGATCCTTTGATGGGATTTAAGATGACTGTTTCTTCTGAAGCCCTTTCCGCACTCCATGCATTTATATGGCTTCTCCCCTGTGTGGATCCTTTGATGGGATAAAAGTTCATTCCTTGTCCTGAAGCCCTTTCCACACTCCATGCAATTATATGACTTCTCCCTCGTGCATGTCCTTTTATTAACAATCTTGTTTCCATGTTCATTACATTTATTTGACTTCTCTCCAATGTGGAAATTTTTCTGTGACTCAAGAGACCCATTTTCTTGAGAAAGTGGGAATATCCAACTGTAATTTTTTCCTTCATCTTTCCATATATTGGCTGGTTCTTTGGTTTGTGATGGACAGGGTCCATTTACATCTAATGTGTCTTTGAAGAGACTTACACTTTTCCCAATATATTGCTTCTTTAGTTTTCCTCGTTGATCAATAAAGCCCTGCATCTGAGCATCAATCGAAGATGATGAGCTTTCGTTATTCCAGTTATTTGACAGGTTTCTCTCCTGCCTTTGGAATTCTATTTGAATTGCAGGTTTCTCCATTACGTCTCCTTGTCTAAACACTTTGATTAGTTCTCCAGAGTCTTTATTGTCATTCTCATTCTCACCTTCAAAGGGAAAGAGAAATGAAAGTGAGAGAAAGTTTAGGGAAAAAGATCACTCTGTCAGAAGTTATATTAATTGCCTTCAGGTATTGTGCCAAATTCTAATATATACTGCATATTTGTATCCTTAACAGTGGCATGTTATCATTATCATAGAAATGATAATATCTCTACTGATGAGGCATAAAACCTTGAAAAAGACATTAAGTCAAAAAACTTGAATGATATAGAAGGATCTGGGCCGAAATAGTTGAAATCTGTGTGATGGAGTTTGGCATTACCTCAAACTAAGGAATTACTTTGTCACTAAAAAGTTTAAATAGAAACACAAAAACAGATGGGATTGGATACATCTAAGCAGAATGCCATAGACCAGTGGTTCTCAACCTTCCTAATGCCGCGACCCTTTAATACAGTTCCTCATGTTGTGGTGACCCCGAACCAGGGGTGGGTTCTAAATTTTTTTTACTACCGGTTCTGTGGGTGTGGCTTATTTTGTGGGCATGGCTTGGAGGTCATGTGACCGGGTGGGCGTGTCTAGCTGGTCATGTGACCGGGTGGCCATGGCTATGTGTATAGGGACTACTCAGAGGGCTGAAAAAAGTCATTTCTGACAGGTCCTCACACTTTTGAGTGGTCCTCACACTTATGACCATCCTCACATTTATGCCTGTGTAGCATTCTTAACAACCATGTCACTCATTTCACAACTGCTTCTCTTCAACATGGTATAAGATAGGGCAAAAAACAGAAAATGTGACGACAGTCGTAAATTCGAGGACTGGTCAAAAGTGCGAGGACCAGTCAAAAATAACTTTTTCAGCCCTCTGAGTAGTCCATATGCATAAAAGGATACAGCAATAGAGAGGGATGAAGGAAGGGAAGGGAAATTAGAATAGGAGTGAAGGTAAGAGAGGGAGGAAGAGAGGAGGAGAAGGAGAAAGAGGAAGTAGGGAGAAGAAAAAGAGGGGGGGAAGAGAAAGTAAGTAAGAAAGAAAAGACAGAGGTGGTAGGTTTGAGGAGAAAGATTGCTGTACAATAAAAAAGATGAAAGGGAAGAAAGCCAACCCCAAACAAATATAAAGATATTAAGATAAAGAATGAATTGTTAAACTTTAAAGAATAAAAGAGAACAAATAGGAATAAATAGCAATAATTAGAAACACACATACAAATATACAACGTATTTTTTTTGAACAGAGTATTTGGCCGGTCCACAAATTTAAACAGTTGTAGGAGGTTAGCACCCACCCCTTTCCTAGAAGAATGAAATATTTTGGGAAATATTAAAAAGGCAGAATATTATATTTCCCTGGATGAGAAATGGAGAAGCATATTTTACAGACAAAGCAGCTCGCACCTTCCTGCCCCCCACCCTTTGTTAATGGGCCAGAGGCAGAAAGTCAATCATTTGTCAAAGGACATTTGCAACACAATAGCAACAGAAACTAACACAATGGACCCCATCAAGCCATGTGATCCTGTCCACCATTAAACCATCTTTCCAAGCAGTCTCCATGTTTCCAGTGTCTTTTTCCCCACTTGGAGCAGAACCCTGAAGGATATTTCTTCCAACACAGTATTTAATCATTTCAATTAAATTTACAATTTCTATATTTCCTTTTTACCATATTTATTCCTCATCTATTTTTAAAAAAAACCAATATTACCCTTCATCCTCATCTCTAATCTTAATCAAATTCAATTTTTCTCTTCTATATTATACCCCTTCGCATTGTCATCTATTTTTATATCCATCCTCACATTGGTTAATTATGTAATACAGTTGTTTAATACAAATTCAACATTTTAATATAAATCAATTAGTTATATAACTATCTTTTTTGTATATTAATCAATATGAACATGAATATTCCAATTATTTCCATGCAATCCAATTTCTTACAAATCCATTAATTATATTTACCAATAATAATAAACCAAATAATTTCCCCCATATATTCCTCCAAACCACAACTTAACCATTTCTGCTTTCAACACAATATACAATTAATAGTATCTCAATTATTACAATTCCCTAGTTAAATAGAGCTTTTTTTCTTTTGTGTTTTAAAATCTTGAACCTCCTCTTGCCCTAAATTTCCCATTGTTTGCAGTTTTGTACCTACCTTTTTTGGTGAGGAAAAAGAAAAAGAAATCTCTCTGCCTCATTTTGTCATGTTGCAGCAAAGACCCTGCTTTCGCTTTCTCTTTTCAGCATAGCTAGAGGGAAAAAAATTTGCTCCAGGAATTTATCTCTTTGCAGCTAGCTCTTTGAAGCCCCGCAGCAAGAATTTAAAGTTTTTTTCCCTCTAGCCATCAGCTTGGACTCCAGAGGCAGCAATAGATTGGGAGTGGGCGGCGGCAACCGGGCGATCCAACAGAGGCAGAGGGTGAGGGTGAGTGAAGGCGTGGGAGGGGGTGAGAGTGGGCTTTGGCGACCCCTGTGAAATGGCCGTTCGACCCCCAAAGGGGTCGCGACCCCCAGGTTGAGAACCGCTGCCATAGACCCATCTCCTTCCTAGGAGCAGTAGAAAAACAGAACTTTTCCTTCTCCCTCTGAAGAGGGGATATCTATTTAGAGATATTTTCAAAAGAACTAACTAATGGCATCTAACTACAAAATGTCTTCCTGAACTCTCTGATTGGAGAGTAGGAAACCCTTACCAAGAGAGACCACGTTCTTATAATTCTCCAGCATGACTTCCCAATGCAGAGCTCTTTGGTGAGGATCCAGCTGAGACCACTCCTCCTCGGGGAAATCAACAGCCACCTCCTCAAAGGACACAAGACTCTCCTGAAAGGGGAAAAAAAAAGTACAGAAGAGACCAAGGAGGGACTGCAGGATCTTTCCTATTATTTAGAAATTCACAAAGCAAACATATACACTAAGGAAAGTAGTTATGCTTAGTAGGAATCCGTGTTTTAGATGACAAAATGGACAGAACAAAAGGCATGTGACTAAAAAAATATTTTAGGCAGGCTTTATCAACTTGACTGATTCTGCGTCAGCAGGGAGGGTGGGGCAGTGGGCATTGCTGTCATAGGAGGTGTCTCGCATGTGCACGGGGCCAGATGGTGTCTGGAAGGAACTTTAGCCCGCGTGGGGGTGAGGGGAGGCATGCAATCCATCCCACCGTCTGTCTTTGTTTGCACAGTGTGTGCGGTGGAGCTGGAGGACCAGGGTGGAAAATGGGGGCTGAGAATGCAGGGATTGCGCTGTGGTGCCCCCCCACCCACCCCAACACTTACCTCGCCTCATAGCAGTGGCACTGACGGGGTGTACGTGATCAGGCCTACCAGAAGGGCTGTTGTGGACCCTCCACCCACTCTGTCCATCTTTGCTTGCCCACAGCTGCAACCAAGCAGGCAGCCTCACAGAACATCTAGTAGGCCGGATCGCATGCCTTCCGCACTCACCCCCACACCTCTAGTTGTCTTCCCTCACCTTGTGGAGGCACCAGCGACAAGTGGTGGGGCAAGTTGCTCTGCCTCACACTCCGCAAGCAAAGACAGGCGGTGGGATAGTGGCTGGAAACGATGGGGCTTTTCAACCCTCACTTCAGAAGGAAGGAGAGCAGTCACTTGAGGGCTGCCTCTTTGCCAGTCTGTTTCTTTCAGATTTGTCCCGGCCCTCCCATCCCCCCCCCCGTTTTTTAAAAATTTGATTTATATGCTGCCCTTCTCTGGAGACTCAGAGCGGCTTAAAATGCGTTAAGCAATAGCCTTCATCCTTTTGTATATTTATACAAAGTCAGCTTATTGCCCCCACAAACTGGGTCCTCAATTTGCCTACCTTAGAAAGGATGGAAGGCTGAGTCAACCTTGAGCCTGGGGAGATTCGAACTTGCAGTAATTGCAGGCAGCTGAATGTTAATAACAGGCTATTAGTCTGCTGCGCCACCAGGCCCTTTGAACCTTGGCCTCCCTCTTCAGAGGGTGTTAGAGGGCAAGGCTGGGCTAAAGCACAGAAGAAACATGGGAGAGAAGCCGCACAGTGAAGGACAAGGGGCTCGCCTGCCTCTCCATGGGACCTCTCTGGTAACATGGCATGCAAAAACTAAAGTGTAAAAGGCATTCTTTCCAAGTCAGCAGCAGCGCCAAAATCAAAACAAAGCACTGCGAGTCCGTGCGCCCTTCCCATTGGTTGCTCCGCTTTTAGGAAGCATTTCATCACCAGTGATGTTATTCAGATTACATCCTGGCATGTTTTGGAAGGGAGAAGGCACAGCTGCTGTTTCCCATGCTTGGCTTTGCGCAGCAAAGGTGAAAGATTACAGGATTTATTTTTTTATTTCCCTTCCAAAACATGCAGGGGCAGCAGTGGCAGCAGGCAGAGGCAGAGCCATGGGGTTGCCCACTTCGTGTCCAGCAGTGGCTGCAAGCACATTTCAGGCAGCTGCTGTAAGCCGAGTCCTGCTTTTCCCTTTTGACGAACTCACCACTCCCTTGCAGCAACTGGCATGAGCGACTGCCCGTGCTGCTGCTGGCTTCACAGGAGC